CGGCCGGCGCTGCCGCTGGCGGAACGGCGGTCCTGGCACCTAGCCCGGCGGCGGAGACCTCGCCGTCGCCGCCGGTAGCAGCCGGCTGTCGCGGGCAGGGCTGGGCGCCCCGGTACCGCCGCCACCACCGCCGCCACCGCTGCCCGCAGTGCCCCGCCCGCCCGCGCTTGTACACTGGCGAAGAGGATGAGGATGCGCGCTCCGCGTGCGGGCGGGCAGCGGAGGCGAGGCTGGGGCTGGACTCTCCGGCGCCGGACCCTCCGGCTCTCCGCTCCGACCTCTGTGCTGCCGCTCGGTGTGTCCGTGCCGGCAGCAGCGGCGGGCAGACCCCGCCGAGCTGGTCCCCACCCGAACGCGGGGGCAGAGGAGCAGCTCGGCGCTTGATGCCACGCGCAGCAGGGCATGGAGCCGTTCGTGGGGAGAAGGGCCGCTCCTGGCATGGAAAGCCCTTGTGTGTAGCCCAAGGGACAGCGTTCATTCAGAGACAGCGGTGGGTTTGGYGTGTTCGGTGTGTTGAAACACACGGAGCCGGGCACATGGGCTACAGACCCACCTGCAAGCTGGGGTTTCACAGTCTAGAGGGGATGGTGTGGGATTGAGTCAGTGAAACCTGGAACTTTCTGCTGGGATTCCTTTGTGTTAGCAGTAGTTTCTTCATTTCTTGCTATCTTGCAGTAGTTTATTCAGAACAGGAATTAGTGTAACAGCGGAATCAATGAGAAGCTGAGGTTGTATGAAATTAAAGATGATTTTGCACCATTGSGCATAGTCCTCATTTTACATGGTGTGAAACAAGGATGATACGGCCATTTTCCTGTTGAAACACAGTCCAGAAGTTGTTTCCCTTCACTGGACCATCTGTGTTCATATGTGAATCCAAGCATTCATGTGTGAACACAGGCATTTACCTTCCCTTACACATTTTTTTTTTTTTTTTACCATTCAGTCATCCAAGCAGGAAGCAGAAACATCACTATGAGACTTATGTGACCGAATGAATAGCTACTGAAGACACAGGGTCACAATCAGCACACCGGAAAATGAGTATAAATAATTAGGCTTAGCCACATTTGCAGGCTGGACTTTCCATCATTGTTCATATATCCAACCAGAGGCAGTATATGAAACTTTACAACGTGAATAATGGGATAATGTCCTGCAGACCGTGGCTTCAGGACTAAACAGCTGGTTTGCAGTTGTAGTGAACTCAGTGACAAAAGATGTTTCATGGAATCAACCGTGAAATCAGATTTTGCATACATTAAGGCTTTGGACCAGTCCTTACATGATGCATTACAGAGTGCATGGGAAAAATCTCAACAGAAAGGTGCCAGGATTCGTTAGTGTTCAGTCCTCCATTCCTTGTTGATACTACAATTATAATTCTTCCCTAAAGGGTGAAGCTTGGTATTCTGGACCACTGACAATGAGGGCACTGTCCAATATTGTCCTTGTACTATAATACTATAAGAGTAAGAATTTTGTCCTGAGGATAGATTTGGGGATAACAGGAGAGACCTTGCCTTCATTGGCAAAAAAAAAAAAAAAAAAAAAAAAAAAGGAAAAAGGTTTTGCCTAATTCTTGGGAACTATAACATCTACATACAACTCAGTTGCAGTCTTCTTAAAAAAGAAGAACTCAAAAGCTTCTGCAGCAGTAGGCACATCCTGGGTGTGCACATTGTGGGTAGTAAATTGACCCTTTCTCCTGCTCTACCTTACCAAGAAAGGGCAAAAGACTCTCCATGACTCTTTCCAAACTCACTTAAGTTTCTAGATGATGGGAAATTGTTCTAGACAGATAGGCTATGCAAACCTGTGACAAAGTTCAACATWCTACAATTCCAGCAGCTCAATGAACAGTAATAAGAAGGATACAAGGCTACATTTTGCATGTGAGAGAGCTTTGAAGGTAAGTGGTAGTTGGTGGAATGAATTGTTACTGATAATCATAAAACCCAGCTGAAATATCCCAAATGGATCGAGATCAAATATCTYACTGTTACCATGACAAGTGTTTTTCCTATACTTGTAGAATAACTTCCTCTCAGATGTCTTACAACCAAATGTGCATTTGTATGGCCAAAAATCTGCATTCCTGAATTCTCCAGCTGTGCAATTCTCCTCTTTCCACAAATTGCTAACTGTGTTTGAGCAGCAGAGGCACCTGCCTTACCACTTGGCTACTTATTGAAATACAAAAGAAAAAAAATTCTGCTCTTACTGTGTCACGTAGTTATAGATATATGAATCCTAATGCAGACATTTTTCTTTCCTCTTTGCTTTCTGCTGTCTTAAAACCAGCATGCATGAATCCASAAGACTTCTTACTCTGAAATATCTGTGCACGCTGGGCAATGTGCAGTTGTTGCACAATCTTAAGCAGAACAGTGATACCGCAGTAGCTCTTTGTTAGCAAATTCTCTTTGTAAACAAACCCCATGTACCTCTGACAATTACAGCCTGAAATTGCAACTTTTGAAAGTGTGWACTTCGTGCACATGGGAACTCTATTCTAGAAGGCTTTAGAGTGTAGTAATTCTGTCGAAGAATAGAATTTTTTTTGTTACTGTCAAAACAACAAAAATACTGTTTAGCATTTTGGTGTTCTTTATCTATATCTATTATCTACTACTAGTTAACCCTGCTGGTATTTGCCTGTGGTTGCGTCCTGCTCTCAAGTTGCACTTTCAAGTTGGCRTTTAAGTGAGTGATAGTGTGTTTTCCCCTAAACTGCTGTACAGAGTCAGAAGGAGGGGAACCTGAAATTGGAAGTGGTCTCTAGCTTGCAGCTGTGAGAAGCCAGAAGACTTGTCAAACAACCCAAGCAGACAGGAGAGAGAGCATTGGATGATGTCTGGTAAATAGAGATTTTGGCCTCTGACATCATTGTGAGGTAGCCTTGCCTCATACTCATTAAGCAAATAGTTTTCAGAAGAGCTGACTGAATGGCGTATGAGGTTTGGGGAGTAGGACCCAGAATAAAATGAACAAACTGTCTGTTATTCAGTTGAGAGAGTGAAGATGAGTAATACAGCACCACCATATGCTGAAGAAGCAGAAGAAAGCATGTTGAATGGGAACATTTGTGGTAGGATGGGTATTTGGGAATGACCAGTGCCTATATCCTGTATTTGAAAAKCTGGAAGAGCAACAGAGGTTGCAGAGGAACACACATGTTTCTCCTCTGGTGTGCAGTGTGTGTGTTGTGTCTGCAGGTTCTGAAAGCTGGGTGAAAGAGTAATTCACACAGGAAAACATGAAATGTACAGCTGATACAATATAGAGAATGAAAAGGGTGTGGTACCAAGGAAACTGAGTTAGGTGTGCCACAGAAACAGATCAACAAGGTATGTAGGTTGTGTCATATTTGTTTGCTACCAGCAGTTATTATTTTAGAAAACTGACAGCAGAGAGCGATGGTGCAGCCCTGGCTGTACGCTGGGTATGGCAGGCACATGATGGTGTATGGCATGTGGGACATGTCACAGGACATAGGATGAGAGGACTTAGGCATAAGCTGKGCCAGGGGAGCTTTAGGTTGGACATTAGGAAGAATTTCTCCACTGAAAGGGTGATTAGATACTGGAAAGAATTGTCCAGGGAGCTGTAGTCACTSAAAGGAACAGTTTAAGGAAGGACTCGATGTGGCACTCAGTGCCATGGTGGTGTTCRGTCACAGGTTGAACTCGGTGATCTCAGAGATCTTTTCCAACCAAAGTGATTCTGTGGTTCTGTCACACTTCTACCTGTCACATGAAATACAAGGGTTCTGGCTTTACACACCACATGCCAACAGCAGCGACAAGCACAACAGGTGGTGTACATTTTGCTGTACTGCCAGATGGTGAAGCTGCCTGGGCCATGCTGGCGCCGGTCACCTGTGGCAGTGGCCTGGTGTCTGCATTCTAGAGTAGGCAGTCGGGGTGGAAGGTGGGGCTGCAGGAGAAGCTGGATGGGCACAGCAGAACCTGGGCTGGGGTCTGCCATGGCAGTGGGGGCTGGACTGAAGCCTAGTCTGGGGTGGGGAGAAGAGCAGGAATGGGTGTGAGGAAGAGCATGAGGAAGAGCATTGTCAGCAGGTTGAGAAGAATGATCCTGCCCCTCTACTCCAGCCTTAGTGAGGCTACATCTGGAGTGCAGTGTCCAGTCCGGGTTCCTCAGTAAGGACAGACACGAAGCTCCTGGAGCAGGTGCGGTGGAGGGGAAAAAGGATGATTGCGGGACTGGAACATCTCTCTTATAAGAAAAGGCTGAGGGAGCTGGGCTTGTTCAGCTTCGAGAAGAGGGGGGACCTTAGCAATGTCCATCAGCAGTTAAAGGGGGGATGCCAAGAGGGTGGAGCCAGGCTCTGCTTGATGGTGCCAACCATTAGGACAAGAGGCAATGGGCAGAAGCTGATGCACAGGAAGTTCCACCTGAACATGAGCAAGAACTTCTTTGCTGTGCGGGTGACCRAGCATTGGAATAGACTGCCCAGAGAGGTTGTGGAGTCTCCCTCCCTGGAGGTATTTGAGAACAATCTGGACACAGTCCTGTGCCGTGTGCTCTAGGATGGCCGGCTGTAGCAGGGAGGCTGSACCACTGTGGTCCCTTCCAACCTGACCCATTCCGTGGAGGCCTCAGCCGTTAGACGGGGCGGCCTCAGCCCGCGGGTGGTACCGCCCCTCACGAGCAGCGGTTCGGTTCGGCTCGTTCCGCTCCGGTTCGCCTCGGTCCCTTCGGCTCGGTCCGGTCCGACGCATCCCGGCGCCGCCGCCGCCCTCGCGAGCTCCCCCGCGCCCGCCCCACGCGTGCCAAGCCCGGCCCGGCCGTTACGGCACCGCCGCCGCTTCGCTGTGAGGCGGCGGGAGCGAGCGCGGGAGGCGGCGGCGGGCGGGGGGCTCGGTGCAGGGAACAGCCGCGGCCTCCTCGCCTCAGCCGCGGGGAGGAGGGACACCGAGGAGGGGGAAGGCGGGGTGGCGGTGGTGGGGGGGGGACGAGCAGAGCGTCGCGTCGCTCGCTTCCCTCTAGGACCGCGCCGCCGGCGGGGAGGAAGGGGCGCGTCTTCCCGGAGCCTTCGTCGCCCCGCGCCCTCTCTTGCCAGGCCCGGTGCCGGAGGGGGTGGGGGTGGGCGCCCCGCGGGTCCCCTCAGGCTCGGCGGTGCCCGGGGCGGGTGAGATGTGGGGCTGAGCGGGCGCGAGCCCGCGGGGGTGGGGTCCGCCGTGCCCGGGGAGGGGGCGGGCGGGGGGGTGGTTGGGACCGTCCCCTCACAGCCGTCCCGCCCCGCCGCGCTGCGCCCATGGTGATTGTGCTGCATCCCCCGCGCGCGGAGCGGGGCGAGCTGCCCGCGCCTCCCCGCCGCGCCCGCCGGGGCGCCCAGGTGGGTGGCGGAGGGGGAGCGGCGGCGGAGGCCGCTCGTTGTGCGCGGGGCGAGGGGCGGGAGGGGCGGCGGGGTCCGCGGCCCCGGTCCGGGACCCGCGTTCCGCGGGCGGGTCGGTCTCGCTGCGAGCGCGGGGTGGGGGCTGCCGCCCCGCGGGCTCGTACGGCGGCCGCGTCCCCGCACAGCTCCGTGGAGATCGGTGGTGGCTGTCGGGGCTGATCTTCATGTCAGGGAGCCAGGGGTGTGAGTGGCTGGCGTTGGGTCTGGCAGCAAGATCTTCCCAACTAGGTTTCCTCTCCCCTTTTGTTTTCCGGTGTTTAAAAAGCTGGTGGCACATCGATGACTTTACTGCCTAGGATCTTACCATGAGCTCCGTTTTCCAAGGGTGCCACTGTTAATCTTGGATTTATTCCATCATTTAAGCAAGCATCCTCTAGACATGTTATTTTGGTTTGTTTTTTTTTTTTTTTTTTTTTTATTTTTTTTTCACCGTTTATAAACCCCTGGTTATTTTCTGTGGCAGAGTGTGTTCTAATGCATAGAAATAAATACATGGTCCTATAATGCATAAGAATACACGCTTCTGAACTGAAACGTACTTTTCTTCAACCTCATCTGAATCCTGAGGGCTGTTCTGGGGGAGAGGTGTAAAGATTTAAAGACTCACAAATAAATAGTAATAGTTTTTGTAGCTGTAGAAACTTATTTTCCTCATATGTTCCCATGTAGGTATGGGTTTATCTATCCCTTGAACACACATTCCTAAGTAAAAGAGCAAGCTTTAGCTTTCTGGGTTTCTTGCCCTTAAAATTGGTTTTTGTGGTAGTATATTTCTCTAAAATATTTAAAGTTGCACATTTCCCCTATGTTCATGTCATCATTTTCTTTTCACTTTGCTTGCTGTTTTGAATGGCACCTTTTCTTCATTTGGGATTTAGTTTATTTTTATTGCATACCTCTATATGTTTATGTCTAATAGGGATGTTTCTTCTTTTTTCTTTTTCCTCCCTAGGTGTTGGTGACTTCAGTCATTTAGGGGTTTAATTCTGAAGAAGCAGAAACACATGAATTGAGTTTCTTTTACATAGAAAGCTACAGCCCTTCATCAGTACTCTTTTTACTCCTTCCCATCCCTCCCTGCTTCATAGGGGAGAACAATTTGAGAATTATTTTAAAGATTCATTTATTCCCCGTTCCCTCTCTCAGAAATCTACCCTGGTCCCAGAGGCATCCACTAGACAGTGCCTGACAGGACCAGGAGAACGTTATCATCACTTGCTTGCTTTGGGAGCTTCAGTAGTACCCTTCCCWCCTTTGGGGTGTAGCACAGAGAGGCATCCACAAGACTTCCTTGCCACCCTTTTTGGTTAGTAGAGGATCCAGCAAAAGGGGTACCTAGCAAGACACGTGACCTCCTTAAAGGAACCAGAACTGAAGCAGCACTTGGCACGCTGAAGGAAACACCCATCTTTAGTGTCTTTTTCGTCTTCCACTCCCTCCTCACCAAATTTCTGGTAAGTCTCTTCAGCCCATTCATTCACGCAGTGCATGTTTCCCTTCCCCCACTCCCGGCGCTGGGAGAGGCATGCACAGAGGCTGTGGGGTGGGGGAAGGGAGGAGGGAAAACTGGCTGTGTACACACGGATCGGGGAGGAGAGGGGATATTGTACCACATTGCGGGGGAACCTGACACAGGTGGAAAAGCAGCTGATGTGGGAGGAAATGGTGTGTTATTTTCACACGGGCGTGTGTGTGCACACAGRGGCAGTGGAGGGGCGTGAAAAAGCTGGGAGCCTGCTGTTGTTAAAAATACCAAGACCGAATTGGAAGGATGGCTGATGCTGCCCAGTACTGGGCTCATATTGCAGGGAGGAAAGAGAATGGATTATTCGGTGGTGATCRGGAAGTGGGGTGTGTGAATGAGGATTCTTGTACTTGCAAGCATGAACACAGAGGYGGAAAGATGGGGGGTGTGGATGTCTGCCTTTCAGAGGCAGCTGTGCCTGGGAGGATTGCTGCTAGCATCTTGAACATCACTCAGTGCAAAGGTGGAGACAAGGAGATGAAAGCCATCATGGGGAGTGCAGTTGCCCATCTGCAGGGGTGGGAATGAATGGGAACAATTAATATATTCCCATATTCTTTGGCTGTTGCAGTCTACAAATCTCAAAGGGAAAAGGAAGTGAATACTGTGATGTGCTTTCAAAGAGGTGTGCTTGGGGTTCACCTGCCTGCAGAGACTTTCAATTCTCCGATGCATGTGTAGAGGGTGGATGATAATGCAGCAGCAGTGGACAGATTGCACTGCAGCTTTTCAATCTATTATATAAAATGCATTTGAAGAAATACTTTATTTTTTCAGATTATTCAGCTTTTAAAAATGTGTTGTTTCCAAAGGTTTTCAGTTACGTGCCCGTCTTAGGAAAACTAGTTTCTGGTATGTAAAAGAGGAATTTTTCTTGATGTTGGCCTTGACCATCACCATGAAGCAGCATTGTCAGGAATGGGTTGATTTATCTTGGATTAATTTTTCTAAAGATGCCAGTTCTTTTCTCTGTCACCATGTGATATGTTTMTTCACCATCCATCCATATTTCTGTAACATTTTCTTTAGATGATCATCATTCTGGTATGCTTGTCTGGAAAAAAAATCGCTTGTGCTTTGTGCCCGAAACATTTAGGAACTGTTTGCAGATCTGCTCTCCCTATGACTTAGAAAGTCCTATTTCTGGGATGTTTCAAATACTGCTCTCTTTCTCATTAAGATGACACAGAGACTTCTGTGATGSTGTATGATGGATTGCATGCTGGGTCATGTGCTGAAAAACTGTTCATTAGCTGTTTAACTGGTCTGCGTCTGCTATCTAAGATTGACTTTTTAATTCAGATCTGCCTTGAGGTCTCTCCTGAAGRAGATAACTTGCAAGCATCTGCTAACCATTCTTAGGTCTTCACTGGCTTGAAATGTGGCCTTCCAGCTGTTCTAGAAACTGCTGTAAGGGTAGARGCGATTGGTTTGTTGGAAATGTGTACTCAGTTTCAAGCCTTAGCTAATTTATGATGAAAAGGAAGTCAAAATACCTTTTCCAACTTGAATAGCACTGTTCTGGAAATGAGTATTAAGGAATAAGCATTAATGGTGTTATTAGTRTTACTTGTAGTGAGGTGAGTGCTTGGAGCAATGTTTTTCCTAGTTCTCTATTTCCCATGGCAGTTGTGACTGTTAGTCTCTTACTCATTCCTTCGCACTTCCATGAGATTTTTATTGTCAGTATCTCAGCTGTAGGGATTAAACATGCCTAGAGGTATGCTAAGACTAAGGTTGGGTTTTACCTCTCTATTAACTGTTGAAATCTGTGGAGTTTGTGTTWTGTGCACCTTGCTGTAACTGAGAGTCTGAGCCAAGCTCTAAAAAAAAGGGGTGGTTCTGGGAGGGGCTACTAGTAATAACTGTTCCACTGACTTGTTTCCCAGATCCCACTGTAGTCAGTAGGAGTGTGCTACAACATCARATCACAGGTTGAGCAGTTGAAATGTAAGATCACGATGATCCTTGATGCTATGAGATGTCTGGGATTCCATTCCTCATTCCCATAGGGAAGAGGCAATCTAGACATTTTAGTTTACAAAAGCATTGAGTAGTTGTCTTCTGAACAAAAATAATACTGAACTTTTTTTTTGCATGCTAGATACCTTTTGTCTTACACATTTACCAGTCATACATAAATTAATTAGTATATCCTAATAATGGATTTCTTGTTTCATCTTAAGGGAAATACATCATGATGAAAAAGAAAAGGAAACTAGTCTATTTTTCTCCTGCTTTTGGGTGTTGARGACAGGAGAATGAGTAAATGAACCATGGAGACCAATCTCCCATTCCTGGAGGGAGAGGGAGGTCTCTAATCTTCTCTGTGAAGAGAGCTAACACTTCAAGGCAAAAAGAGTGGTCTTCAGAGAAGATGTTAAGATCTCTCTAGACAGCTGATCTGATTGGCTGAATTCCCTATTATTTCAATAAAACATATTYATATATGATGTAAAGTCGAAAAGCATAGTGAGTGCTTTTGTTAGAACAGCTGCTAGAGGTGTACTGCAGATTGAAGGAAATGTGGGAGGAAGTAGGTTTGCATGTGCTGGGGAGGAAAAGAAGCTGCTGTGTGGTTGCTGGAGTAAGGCTTGGTTTAAGCAATGTAGTGGTGCAACAGCTGAAAGTGGAGGTGAGCATTCATTCCCTCTATAAATTGCAAGGAATCTGTTCCACGCAGTATCTTCCTGAAGCAGTTGTGGCAGTGTCTGCTCTGCTAGTGTGACACAGTTTGATTTTTATCACAGACCTTTCACTTTGATACCATCCTTTTCCACTCTCCCAGTCTGTCACATGCTGTTGAGTTTATGGTTATTTTTTGCCTTCTAATTYCATAAATCTGTGAAGTAGTTATTGAAAGATTGCACTTACTTTGACTGTAGTAGCTTTGAGTGAAAACTGCACTTGAAGTGGCCATCTTGAAGTTATTTAAACATCTGTTCTTCCCCTTTTATATACCATRGTTACTTTGCAATAGATGCTCTCATGGATTAGGAAGTATTCTATGCACACCCAGCATTGTCTGAGGCTGTGYCTTTTAGATTGAAATGGGTGGAGTTCGTTTTCAGGGAAGAATTCTGGCAATAATATCCAACTTTAGAGCTTAATGCTTTTGTGCATCTGACTGCAAGGCCAGCTTTCCTCCGACAGGCCATTTTCTTGAGAATGTGGGAGGGATTTTTAAGGGGTTTGGGTTAATAGGGTAAATTGCAGGTTTTGTTATGAGAGACTTCTTACTCACAGTAGATTATAAAGTGACGCTGAAACTGATAAGTATATTCTATTTGTAGGAGCAGAGTATTAGTGTGAAAAAGAAATTCTTTTGGGCGGAAGAGGTATATGGTATTGGGTTGGAGGCAAAGGATCCAAGAGTTGGGATTGCTAGTTTATGCCTCTTCTGCCGGCTTGTAGCTTGTTCTAAAGTGAGCTTCTTGGTCTTTGCTTCCAGACTTGAGGTTATTACATGCCTTTCTTACCATAACATGGGAGCTTTTGTGTATGCATTTATAAAACTATTGAGATTTTGGGCAAATGAGACATTGTATTAGGAGGGAGATGAGTATCCATATCCAAGGCATTTTWATACGTCTGCTGGTTTAATGTCCATTGATAAATATGGATGGCCCTYCCTGACAATATCGTAACCTCTTCCAAACGTAGAAGATGGAGGCTGGAGAAGCATATACCTTTTTTTCTTTCTTCTTGAGCCCTTTGCTYATTTTTAAGAAATTAAGTGCTGAAATGACAGTCAGGGAGAGATGATGGTGTATTTGAGGGGGTGGAGGTGGGGCCACGTAGAGAAGGGATTTGAGGAAAATTGAAGAAGATTGGCAAAGAAAGCAAAGCCGGGGAGAAAATACTGGGTTCTTGTATCAGCGTTAGAACCAGTAATGAGGGGAAAAGCCTCAAACCACAAAAACCCAAACTAAAGCCTCAAGCAGGCTGAGAAATATGTGATGCTTTCTGATCTATGCCTTTTTTTAACGCGAGGAATTGCGTGTGGTGTGGTGTGTTTTCATGCCCAGGGCGTTCTCCGGCCGTTCTCCAGGATGCGCCCGTGCGGCCCAGGGCAAAGCGGCGCTGCCCGGGAGGGGCGGCAGGTGGCGCTGTTCGGCCTCGCCAAACCCCTGCAAATGGCAGCGCTGAGGGGCAGTGCTCGGGGGCTTTGGAATGGGCCGTGCAGCGGGAGCATTTCTGCAAAATACAGCCTGTCCCGCTGCCTGGCCGAGGATGTTGTTCCAGGAAGTTTCGTGTAAACTACCGCGTYCAGAAATCCATTGTTGAGGGAGACAGAAGTGGGGCAGTGTCTGATAAATGTCAGCCATTGCCTGCCCRAGCCTCGTCTTTTCCTTTTCACTTSGAGCTGCTTTGAAGAACAAAGAGGTTCTTTGAGAGATCAAAAGATACTCCTTATAACCTCCTACATCCACTTTTCTGCAGGGAGCAAACACTTTTTCCTGCTTTACCTTGAACATCATGACTACTGTCAAGGACTGGTCTGGATCTGTGATTGTCTTTCCCTAGCTTCTGTTTTCTTTCAGTCTGTTAGTATGAGGAACTGTRGTCCTTGGCTTTATTGTTGCACCTCATTTACCAAATCAATGGAAAAAATCTCGCAGTCTTTGCTTGTTGTTACTATGGTTCTCAGTACCAGGAATAAAAATGTCGACTTGAAATTTTGTCTTCTTGTTAAGATAAAGTGGTACTAGTAGAAAAAAAAAAATTCTAGAAAAACCTAGCTGGTTCTTATGGTAACTAAAGAGTCCTTTTGCCCCAAGACCTGGTGCAGAAACCAGAATTCTTTGTAATATCGAGTGATAGCAATTGTACCCTAAAGGTGTTCTTGTATTGACATTGTTTGCTGGCAGCAGTCATTAGGGCTACCAGGCAAAACTGCATCCCTTTTGCAGAGTTCAGTTCTTCTAGGAACTCATATCAAATATATTAGTGAAAATGATGATTTTTGCCTTTTTATTTTAATAAGAAATTTTAAAGGTGATGCAGAAAAACCATTCTGTTTTTTTTTCAGAATTTTTATTCCCTGTGCTTGTCTTTCTTTAACATAAAGGAGTAGTCCATTATTTTGCAGCTTTTAAAATATTTCAGTAAAAATGTGTTCAGTCGAAAATAGCCCAAGTCCTCTGTACTCAAAGTAAAAGGAGCAGTACCTTGTTGTTATCAGTTCTAACCCCACTGAAATTCTTTAGTTTGAACTGTGTTTTCTGCTCTTGGTCCTGAATTCATTAGTGCTGTTTATTTATAAAGGTGATTTAAAAAAAATTGATTTGAAGCAAGAAAGGGCTAGCATGATAATTCTGTTGAAATTCTGACCTTGATTTTGCTTTATTTTACATGTGTTAATGTTCTCTATTCCTGACATTTTGTTGGTGCTCCTTGCTCCTTTGGTTTTTCCACTATTGTATGTTCTGGATATTACTAAATGTATTTCTAAATATATCTCACAGCAGATGTGAAATATTTGTAAGAGCATATCAGTCCTAAACAGTTATCTGGAAGATTCTGTGGTAATGAATTTCTAYTCTTCTGGTCTGCTTTCTTCACGCAAAGAGTTTGTCACACTCTTTGGTCTTTCATATGTGGTGAAAAGAGACAAATCAAGTCAGTCACTGGGTGTTTTAGCTGTACCTRGGAGGGTGGCTGAGTTATTTCACTTGAAGAAATTTTCTCAGTTGTGAAGTTGGAATTCTGGCCTTCAGACATGGCCATTCAAATTCAAAGTTTTCAGTTCTTTGCATACTTCTTAGTCAAGAAAGAGGAATGCCAAGAAGGAGGTACTGCCAGTACCAGTAGTTAYGTCTTTCTGTACTCCTTGAGGAGAAAGCTGGGATGAGAAGCAAGAACTAATTTCTAGCATTTAACATTCTGTGGAATGTATATGGGCTGTTTCTGTTGTTGGTACTTTGGTTGCAGATTAGGTGTAGACTTGCTTTTGCTTCTTGGAGTTTGGAAGTTGCAGTCTGTTGAAATGGATTGACTTGTGCAGAGGAAGTGGGACTTAGTCCAGCAGGGGTCATGAAGAGCCTGTGTATTCTAACRAAGTCTCATCTTCTCCACTGTCTAGCAGTTCCATTGGAAGGGGACCTTGAAGGCTGCAAGACAAGTCCAAGATGTGCAGTTCAGTTGCTCCCAGGCTGTGGTTCTTAACAGACCGTCGCATCAGAGAAGATTATCCTCAGCAGGAGATCCTGAGAGCACTGAAGGCCAAGTGCTGTGAAGAGGAGCTGGATTTCCGGGCCTTGGTGATGGATGAAGTGGTGCTGACCATTGAGGATGGAAATCTTGGTGAGAATGATCTAAGATTGGGAGTGTGCTGAAAGGGTACTTGGAAAAAGATTGTAAAATTGAGTGTCTGTACTGTTTAATAGTGAATTCCATAAATGCCAGACTGCCTACCATTCATCACCTAAATCATGTTGATGTAGGTAAATATAATTTTTTAAAAAGTTATTATGTTAATCAAATATAATAGTTCAATTTGTTAATTTGCATTAGAACAATTTTTGCATTCCCTCTGCAGAAAAGAGGGGAGGATGTTTCATTTTGGTGAGTCCAGAGTAAGGATTATAGCACTTCTGAAACAATAGGAAGTCATGGAACTTAATTTTTGCTTCAGTACTTGAATGTTGTGGATCGCATTTAAGAGTTTCAGAGGTTCTTTTTTCTTCTGTTTGTGTTCTGGCTCTGAAATAGAAAACACTGGAAATAATCTAAAAGGAATTTTCAATGAACAGTACAAAGTGTCATGGAACTTGAGGTTATAATATGATGTAACTAAAGCACGCTGCTGTACGGATGTGGAGTTATCTGAATTCCAGAAAAGAACAATGCTGATAAACAAAGTATGTGCATCAAGTAATTTGAACTATTACTACAATTTACAGTGTTTAAAACTAAATGATGAGATTTCTGTTCTGTTTTCCTATTTTTTTTCCCTGTGGTGATTAAGAAGGAAAAGCAAGATGTTAAATTGCATTAGAAGTGTTAAACCCTGTAAAAAGGGTTCTGTAGATAGTAAGCTTATGTGATAAGAAGATACTAATATCACCAATGTCAAGCTGTGTRACACAATTTGTTTTTGTTTCAACATTTTTAAATTTGAATTTCCTAAAGTAAGGAAACTGSAGTGTTATTTTTTTTTACCTTTAACTCTTTCTTTGCTCTAACCCCATATATCAGTCAAAAATGTATCACTGGAGACCCAGGAAAGAATTAAATTTCTGAAAGTTGTATTAAGAGTAATTAATTCTGTCTGGGAAGAAAATATAAAAGTACTCTAAGCCGTGAAGAAGAGGCTGCCATGTATACCTTGTTCCTCTTTGGGAAATCATGTAGGAAGGGAATCATAAAACTTACTCTGGGGAAGAACTTTGTTAAAAGTTTATACCCTATTTTGTCATGTATCAGTCAAGTATAAAGCATACGTATGGTAAAACAAGTATTTTTTATTCTGGTGTTACTAAACTTTCATTTACCTATTTTGTCTTTGAGGAGTCATGATTTCTATCACAGATTGAAATTCTGTAGAATGTCTTCAAATCAAGGTAACTTGTCAGAAAGTCTGCGCTCTGAGTGTGCTTTCCTTTGGACAGTATGTAATGAGAATGCAGCCGTCCTGGGCTGTAGCTGCAGTCTCTAAGATGCATAATTAGTCCTTCAGCATTTCAGTACTGTTTTTGTTTCTTGGTGATTTCTTATTTCCTGTCTTCTGTCTATTTTTGGGGAATTAAATAGGGCAAGTGTAAATTATGGACCTTTCTGCTCTTTACTGTCTGATGTCTCCTAATGCTTGTGTCTGTTGTAAGGAAAAAGATAAAAGTAATTCAAGCTGGAAAACTAATATTGAGGGATGTGTGGTACAAGAATGAGAAAAATTAAGAAAATTACTAGAAAAAATGCAGAAAAAGGGAAATWATTCTCATACAAAGTGTTCGTTCAATATGATGTAACTAACTGACSGTTTGAAAAGGAGTGAGATAAAAATGCTGAAAAATTGTGGATAGAAATKTTATTATAAATAGTCTGGACTGTCTAATTGTGGGTTTGGTTTGTTTTTTTTTTTCCTGAGGGCTGGGAATCTATATCAAACAATTCTTTCTGTTGGAGAGAGATGAAAAATCTTTGTTCTTAATTTTCCAGTTCTGTTTTTTGTAGAGCTTTTGCACCTGTTTTGATTAAGATTTCTGCTGGAGGATATAAGCAAGGGCTTTGTGTTTAARTTCCTTGTTAAAATCCTCAGCTGGCCTAGGAAAAGGTATCCTGGAACAAAATCCAGGAGGTAGTGCATTYTGTATCCTTTTTATTTTCTACTGTTGTGTGAGGGATCCAGGTTGAGTAAAATTTTCTATGACATAAAGGAATTGATGAAGAGAATGTACCTTCAGTGGATAATAATATGCTTTTGCTTCCTCTTCTATTATTATTTGTCTTGAAAGCTTAGCAATTCCAGGCTCAGACTCTGAAGGTAATACGTGATATTGGAGGAAGTAATAGTTGCAGTTTGTTTTACATATTCACGCTTTCATTAGAGCTTTTTTTGTCCTTTAAAACGAAGGCAATTTCTTCAGTAAATTGTTAGAAGGATGTTAAATTTGCAAAGTCAGGTTGGATATTACAGCATGCTATTTAAAACCTCAAAAGTGTGGCATTTCTGTAGATGATAGAGCTGGGAATCCTTCTTGTGGACTTGCTGACTGTCAGGAACATGAGTGGAGACTTCAGAGACCAGAAATTCAGCACAGAATATTAAAAAGCTTGAAATTATTTACCTCACAGGGGTGGAGTGGAAAAGACATATCTAAACTYATGAAAGTTGAGCAAAATAGTGGGATACATACCAGAATTGATTGTCCTTTCCACAAATTGTGTGGTGTATACCTTGACAGTAGAGCACACTGATGCAAGTATCACTGAAGCACAGAGCCAAAGACAGATGTTTAAAGCTTTTGTGATGCTGAGATTTACAAAATTTGTGTCTGTCAGAAATGATAAGATTTGCCATGGCCAAAAGGGGGAGGCAGTGGGGTTGTTTCACTCAGTAGTCTCAGCAGTCTCAGCAGCAGTGACTCCTTGGCGCAGGGTTCTGCTATACATCTGGGCTGGATGGGAAGCGAGGCCGGATTCCCAAGGCAAACCAACAGTGTAGACCCAGCAGTCCCTGCTGGTTCCTTTTCTTTCACAGATGACCCGAAATCCCAAGAACCCCACAAAGCTCCAGTATCACTGGCCACATCAGGAACCTGCGTGCAGCTCAAGATTCACATTAGATACCTCAATACAGCATGAGTCCAAATGTGATTGTAAATGCAAGTTGAGACATATAGAATTAAACTTTTTCCCTTTTAGTCTAAAGGGAAGTTCTTAAATTGATTTATGCTTAAACTGTTTTGGAACTTCAACAACTATTTTTTGAAAGTAACTATGGTTTTTGTCTTACTTTAAAAAAGTGCCTGCGTACCCAAGCCATGAATTCCTGTTTCATTTGCACACTGGCAGTAGTACTCTGTAGATTTCCAAGGAAAATGCTGAAATAAAATAAGAGGATAAGTAAAGCTATAGAAATGGATAAATTCTTTCTGCTCTGGTGGGCTGAGCCTGCTGAGATGGTTACTGAATCAGACATGCATGGCATTGTTACACAGGAATGAGTTGGAATGCTTGTGTGGAAAAAAGTGAAGGGTGATGCTGGTCTGTTTTGATTTAAATGGGCTCCATGTAACTGTAGCATAAGTTTCTTAAGAGCTAAATTCTTGTAGCTTAACCAGTCTAGTACGATCTACTGCTGAATGGAGCAGCCATGTTTCATTTGTCCTTTTCTAGTGTTGCTGTTGCTGCTTGCCTTGTGACAGATTTCATGTCTGTCTTGGCTTGCTTTCGTATTTTACCTAAGCTAATTAAAAAAAAAAAAAAAAGATTTACCAAATTGTGCGCTAGTTTTCAGTATCTGGTATTTGAGTGAGTTAAGTTGGCTAACCCAAGAAAAGCCTAACTCCACCAAATAATTAGCAGTTTTCTGTTGGAATACTTTGCTGCACCAGCCTATTTTGTGGTCATATAATTCCTAGCTCTGGTGTGCACAGGCGAGGAAGAATGGGGTTGTTCTTTTAGGGAATGGCTGGTATTTATGTTGATTTAGTTATACCTCCAGTGTGTACTTCAAAACAGGAATTTTTTTTTGTGGTTAGGATGTTTGATAGTGGCAGCTTTAGGATTATTTTGTTTGTGCATGGCATCTGGTATTTACCATTGCAAGGATTACAAACTGAAATGTCTAGTTTTCTAATCTAGTTTGGCATTTCCTATATTCATTTGAAATACATGGCAAGTAGTGTAACAAATCTCTGCAGGATATTTTTTGGACATGCATCTGAAGTCTTAGCAGTGAGTCCTGTCAAAATGTGTACTTTTAAACTATGTGTCTAACTTTGCTAATGCAGTGATATAACAGTCTTGAGGAATTTGCAGCTAAACAAATTAAAGCTTGTSAGCAGGTGTGTGGCATGGGATGAGGAGGAGGTGGAGGACGCTGGTAGGAAAATCCCACCGTATAGGGGGGACTTTGTGGACAAGAAACAATACCCAAGGGCTGTCTCCTCATTTTGAATATTCTTTCTTCTTTCCTGGGCCTAGGATTGAGCAGTACCTTTCCCCATAGACCGCACACCTTGCCTGTAGGGCAACACAGTTCAAGAACTATTCTTTGGTGAAGAATATGTTAGGGAAATTCAGATTCTTCCCTCATCAAAGTGATATACAATAATATCTTCATTCAAATTCTTTGCTGCCAGAGTAGCAGAAATTGGAATTCACTGAGTCAGCAATTTACGAATACCTTTATTGTAGATTTTTGAAATCTCCATATTTTCTGATACTGWCCTGTGAAGGAAAATGGTTTAAAGGAAAGTTTCTTTCACAGAGTTGACTAAAGTATAAACCAAAGTAGTAACTTTTCCTAAGACTTCCTTGGTTTTTCCTTTGGGAATGTGAAACCAAGTGATCAGCTTCAGTGAGGAATAAAAAGGGCATAATAGTAATTTATTCTAAAACAATAATACATTGTGCACAGTCAGCTGGCTTTTCTAAAGCCAAATGGGTAACATCTGGAAACCTTAGATCTCTTACCTTCATTTTTTTGGCAGAGTAAGTATTTAGAAGATAGATTCTTTTAATTTGRTAAAGGTTGGTGTGCTGATTTAGGCATCTGGGTTTCCAATGTGGGCCTGAACTTTGCAATAAAAGTTGGTATTTTGTTTAAGTCTTTTATCTTGCAAGATATGATTTTGTTT